CTGCGAATTTTCGGGAGCAAAAATTCATTGCCGGGCCCTGATAACGAAAAAGTGGATAGCCACAACCACTGTTTTGTGGGACTATGATACCGAAAAATCACCAATTCTGAACACTTCTAGCGCCAATAAACCATGTGTAGGATGTTTTTTTCAAATCAAAGAAACCACTGTCCATCTGCCTCGAGTCGAAGTTTAGAGATTTTGAAAAACATTCTTTAAAATTTGGGGGTACTTTATATGAAGCGCTCCGGCAATTTTCAAAATTCTCAACAATCGCTCCAAACTACTTCTTTAAATTTCTTGAACGAATATAGTACATACACTTATAAATGTAGCATATGTCCGCTTTTCACAGTTAACTCAGTTTTCTACAACCACAGAACTGAAAATAAAGGTTTTTTCCTTCAAACTAAATTTGTTGTCATTAATTAGTTATTTCATTACGGTCATGTACATTTTTTGAAACTTTTAGGAGTTTCCTCGCAATATTTGCAATTTTAAAAAAATACAAAAAACGAGATTATCTCAAAATGGACCCAAACTGAAGCAAACATCTCAATCTTCAATCTTTTAGTTTTGGAAAGTTTTTTGGAAATTTTCAACAAAAAGATAAATACCCGAAACAGAGTAGCGCCATATTTCTTATATAACTACATATATGGAGAAAAAAATGTTTTTTGAGAATTTTTTTGTAAACTTCAACAGCGAATACAAAACTAATTTCTTAATTGTGCATTTCTTAATTGTGCATTCTTAATTGTGCATTCTTAATTGTGCATTCTTAATTGTGCATTCTTAATTGTGCATTCTTAATTGTCAATTTGGAAAAAATCGTACGTATGGTTTAGGCGCTAGTGATGTTCACAGAGGGTGGACATGCTTTCATTTTGAAGGGGAAAAAAGAAAAAGAAAAAAAACTTTTTGGGTATCAGGGGATCTAAAACGTTTTTCCGTTGGAATCTGGAAAACTATTTTCTGTAGTATTACATAACCTTTCATATTCTACGTACAATACTCCGTAAATCTGGAGATATGTACATATGTACATGTTCTTATTGACAACAGCATTAAGAGCAGTAAAACCATTTAAGACCCTTGATTGCATGACAAAATTATGTATCCCGATTCTGATATTGCTAAAAACGAAGTACCGCAAGGAAAATAGTTACAATAATCAAACATATGTTTGCTCCTGAATCGGACAAATATTCCATTTAACTAACTGGCGACTGCTAACCACAAACCGTATTATTACACTACTACAGTACTGTACTATACTTCAGCTTCTGAGTCAATGACCCTTATCTCGATCAGTTTTGGTTCAGTTTCCCATTTGATCCTTGAGCAAATGCTGAGATGGCCCCTTGTTTTGCTCCTGGACATACATGTAACTTCAAATTAACTTCTTCCCGTAGCACATCACACCAGAGTTTTAACCGTTTTTTACGTAAATTAATAAACCTGTGATAATATTCCGAGCAATTTTGCAGTATTTCTATGTATACAAAGGGATAAAAACTTAAATAATTAAAGTACAGAATGTATAAAATGAAACACCACATACAATATTTAACTTGTGCATCTCAGAACTAAACCTAAAATTTACACCAGAAAGAGTGTAGCATTTTGGAGAGACAACTGTATCACGAATATTGGTTTAATAGTTCGCAGTGCTGTCTTCATTTTGCGAGACATTTCAACCACTATACATTATCTGTTGAAACTGAGGCAATTGTGCTGAAAATTTGGAATTTTTTTTCAATTTTCGGAATCAGAGCCGCTAAACTTATCGAGTTCAGTGAATTTATTGACATTTGCTTCAGAGAACTGACTAAGACTATATAGCTGTCTAACGCCTGCAGTGAAGAGAATTTTACACCTGCGAGAAGGTCGTAAATTCTTAACTGAAGAAAAGCTACCAAAAATCCTGGTTGGATTTCTTTTCTGAACCTCTATCTTAAATTTACTTATGTACTGTTTACATATGTTACTGATACATGTAAAATATTCCAAAATGTCATTTTGTTGATGCCGGCTGGTGATCGGAACGCAGTTTGCAAATCATCATCTCAGGACATTTCTGCAATCCACGTGTGGATTCATTTTCTTATAAAAAGTTTGTCCGTCGGCGCCAGGGGAGAGCGTTAGCTGCCTCGCCCAAGAACAAAGTGCTCCGAACTTGTTGGGCTTTCTTCAAAACCAGAATATACATTAGAACCTTCTGGCTCCCATTTTCTCAGTTGGGTGGCAGTGATCACTTCAAACAAATCTTTAAAAATAAGCATTGGAGACTTTCTACTTGCTTCAAACTTGCATAACGGGAAATATATGCTTTATGAACATGGGACAGAAAATAGGTTATATTTTTCAATTTTCTTTTTAGGTTTCTGTGTATAAAAAACAAATTGAAGTCTTAATAATATTGGCATTGCATTAATTTAACATTAATAAGTACTGTTTTGGATTTAAAAGTGCTTCAATGGCGTTCAGGGGTAGAATGTCGAATGTTCACTTGATAGTCAAATATCTGACCATTGCGAAGATTCTGCAATTTTGAAGAGGCCACTATCGCAACAAAATTGAGGTTAGGAAATAAAGTAGTAAAAAGTACCAGTTGAAAACCGGCCATTTTTGGAGCAAGGGTTCACGCACAAAGAGGTGAATCCTGTAGTCCACTCAAGTTTAAAGAAAACAAACTGTTGCGTTTCGCCATAACCAGCCATTTTCCCACTGCGCTGCGGGGAAACTCCTATTTCATCTGGAGCCCAACAAGAAAAAGGAAGAGGCGAGAGCGAAGGTCTGGCTCGGCGGGGGGAGGTGCGGGAGGGGGCCGCCCGGCTGACCGGCGCGACGGTGGCTCCCCTCGGAGACAGCGCGAGCGGTTCGGTGACGCGTCGCACCGCCCGGCCGCGCCGAGCCCAGCCCAGCACCGCCACGTAATTGAGGCTGTGCCGCCCAATAGACAGCCGGCCCCTCCCCCTCCATCGCTCCCGACGCGACGCCAGGGGTGGCCAGGCCGCGGCGAGGACTCGAACCCCGCCCCTCCTCCACCGCCAGCGACGCGACATGGACGCTTCCGGTTTAGCGCCAGCGCCGCGACCCCGCGCCCGCCCCTTCGCTTCCACAGCCACTCCGATATACCTGCACGAGCAAAGTCCTTCCCACAATACTGCCCTGTGATATTGACTTACAGCAACGTTTGGCCTCGTTTAACGGCCGGCGTTCGTTAAGGATTTGACGGTCTGCCGCTTGTTTAAGAGCAATCGGAAAAAAAAAAGATAAACATTGCGTCTAAGACTATTCCATGGTATTTAATTACATTTTTTCTTGAGAAGATTGTATTTCGAAAAACATTGAATGCTACACGGCCGAAAGCACATAACAGACTGTTAGTTAGAACCGCCGTTATCGCCTCGGTTTACAAACTTCACTCGTTTTGCTGTGGGACGTTAATGGCTATTGCGACTATTTACGAAGCCGATGAAGATTTCCGACAAACATCTGAATACGCTCACAAAATCGATTCGGAGTTTGTACCATTTGACAGTCCATTTAAAATTCATTTATTAATTCTGGCGGAGGAAGACTTTAAATTAATACCTGGTACCGTCCCAAAATTCCTTACGAATTAGCCCCGATATAAATCCCATAAAAGGCAGGAATGTAGACCCTGTTCCGCCACTCGCGATGTTAAAGTCGTCTTTTATTTCCTTTCTGCGACAAAGCGTACCTATCAAATATTTACACAATGATAATCAAATGTTTACAGTGAAGACTCGAAGCCTGAGCCGATGACCATGTCAGTCTTTTTTTTTTTTAAAGAAGGAAATGAGAGCTGTGGCGACACATTACGACGCCCGAAGCTCCGGAACCTCCAACTCTACTTGCACTAAACTGCAAACGGGATCACACCCGGAAATAGAGATTCTTTTTAAAATACAAATATACTAATGCTACAACATGTAAGCCTCAAACCGATAGACAGAAAGTATTCTATAAAAAGTAACTATACATCTTAATTTACAGGAGCTGCACACTTAAGAATTAAACGAGTGAAATTGCACCAAAGATACTAACAATACATGCACAACTTTTATTCTGAGAGGAATAAACCTTCAATTTTAAATCTGAGAGGAATAAACCTTCAATTTTAAATCTGAGAGGAATCTTAGTGCAATGAAATTAAATTAGTGAAGTGATCCTAGATTTAAAAGTAATTGAATACTGATCTTGCAACGTTTTACTGAAATGGCATAATTATATGCATTTTTTAAAGTATCAACATTTTCTTTATCAATAAAAGCATTATCAATTAAAGCAGAAATACTGAAATTCATGAAAAATCAAGTCATTGGCCTTGCTACAATTGCATACTGAATTGGTAAATATCTCAAGAAAAGAATCCTTCAACACTGCACATCTTTTAGTCAGGAGGAAACAAAACATTTGATTGACAATTGGTGGTTATGAAGTATTAGATTTGTTTATCATGTTAACAGCACAGTCAGAAATAGAATACGTACTTCGTAATACGTAATTCCACAAAATCTCTTTAAGATACAGAAAAAGGTTTGCGTTGTATGGGATATGAGGCGTAACATTTACACATGAATTTTGTAAGGACATTAAAAATTGTCTATTCAAAGCAACCCATTCTAAATATCGTTCTCGGGTAGATTATACATTTATTTATTAGCTTTCTATGTTTGGTTGCATGCAAAGCCATATTTTATGGCAGTTGAATTGTCTTGTTTTCTCCTCATCAAAGTGAACTATAGAATTCATACCCAAGAAAATTGTAGCATTTACAGCTTTGTCAAACATCATAACTGATATTAATGCTTCTGATATAAAAAAGTAACACAAGTTACTTGATAATGGTCAATGCAACCCTGGCTAATTAAGGCAACTCTTGCATTCTGGTAGAATAACTTCTAAACTCAATATCTTCCAAAAAGCACTCATAACAAACGCACACTCCACGCAAGCAGATCTCTTACCTTTTCCTGGTTCCCAGGAGCTGGGGGCATGCAATACAGCTCTTGCAACTGCTGTTGCAAAGCAGCCATTTCCTGCTGGTGGCTCACTGGCGTCTGGTATACACTCCCAAGGTCAGGACTGGGGCCCAAGCCAAGGAGGCCACCCGAATCGTATAGAGACGGGGGTGGGGGTGGGCCCATGGGGTCACCCACACCTTCCAGCCCTGCACTGAAAGGAGCCGGCACAGGCCCAGTCATCATGCCATCCAAGCCGCTGCCATCTGGGAAAGGTGCTATGCCACTTGCTGAAGCATTAAAACTGTTGCTGGGTGTTGCTCCAAAATTACTTGGGCCACCACCATTAAAAGAGTTTGTACTCTGAGCACCGAAAGTTCCTGCACCCCCACTGAAAGTATTGGGGTTTGTAGCATTAAAAGTGTTACTACTAGATGCATTAAAACTTGAAGTGTTTGTTGAGCCAAAACTATTTGAATTAGCTGTACTGAAATTATTACTACTTGTACTGAAATTATTTGCACTCGTCGAATTGAAATTGTTTGTTCCATTGAAGTTGTTGTTGCCAAAATCAGGATAATTAGTCTGATTTGGTCCAGGTACACTTGGCGCTGGAACTGCCAGTAACGAGTTATTACTTGTCAACATGCCAGCATTCCCTCCTTCCAAACTGACAGGAGGTTGCAGACCCGGAGCACCACTTTCAGATTCTAAGCCAGACGGAGGTGCAGGCTGTGGTTGTTGAGGCGCTTGCTGGGCACCCACGCTTTCTAAATCCGCAGGTTTGTTTGTTCCTGGAGTTGGTAAAGCAGCTGCAACGTGTGGGCTTACACTGCCAGCATCTGACCCATTGCTCACGTTTGACTGCCGTTCACTGCTTGTAAATTTGTCATCAAGTAACTGCGGCGCAGAAGGAAAGTCCGACTGAGAAACAGTTGCAGGTATATTTGTGTCACTGACAGAAGGTGTTTGTTGTGTTTGCTGTGATTGCGGGGGCGCTAAGGATGGCTGTGGCTGTTGAGCAGACATGGAATTCATCCCAATATCATGACCACCTAGTGCCGGGGGTGCAGCCGATTTAGATTCTACGTATGGAGAAACTGGACCACCAGGCGGAGGGCCATCTAACACACTTAATCCTCCATTTGTGCCAACTGGATGCCGCGGCCACTGCTGGGGCGAGGCTGGCACGCGAGGGCCCATGGCAGGCGCAGGGCCTTGAGGCACTCGCGACTGAAAGGAGGGATAGTCTGTGCCAGCAGGAGGCATCACCATTTGCTCCAGTTGTTGCAACGTACTTTGTTGGGTGAAGGCAGGAGGAACATTCACTGGGACTGGAGAACCGGCAGCAGATTTCGGAGTGAGAGCAGTGGCTGGTCGAGGAGACAGGGTGGCTTGCTGCTGAGGAGGAAGTGGATGTGGTGAAAGCCCTCCGGCCTTTACCGGTGATGGCACTGGCCGGGGAGACATTTGTTGTGACTGTTGTGGGGGCTGCACTGGTTGAGACGGGGCAGCCTGTTGCCCTGTTGGAGGTTGATTCGGCCGTGGGCTCATCTGTGGACGGGGAGACATCTGAGGACTCAATTGAGGGAAAGGTGGCCGATACTGTGGACTCCCACTTCCAAGTGCTTGCCCGTGACCTTTCTGTGCCCCAACACCATATTGAGCCGATCCAGTTGAAACTTCCACACCAATGGGCCTTGGTATTTGTTGGTGTGGCATTGTTCCCGGGCCTGTTTGGCCATAGTGGCTGCCCATGTGATTGTAAGAAGGCTGCTGTTGATCAGGATATTGTGGTACATGGTGGGGTAGCCTACTGCCCTGTTGCTGCATGGGTTGGTAACCTCCATACCCACTCGCGTAGCCTACCATTCCTTGTTGACCCTGTGATGGATAGCACTGCTGCTGCTGCTGCTGCTGCTGCATTCGTTGTTGCTGTTGTTGCTGCTGCTGCTGTTGTTGTTGTTGTGGTTGTTGGGGGAGGGGATATCCAGCAGGAGGCAAACCTTGATGTGGTTGCATCATGGAGCCCATCAGACCAGGAGGCTGTCCGGTCTGGTACTGGGACTGCTGGGGGGTCATTTTCTGCTGCCCCATGTTCTCTTGCTGATGAGGATACCCGACGTGAGGTCGATAACCACCTTGTGCCATTTGATTGCCGTAGTGACGCATGCTGCCAGATGGACCAGGATAACCACCCGGCCCGCTATTCCACCCTTGCATGCCATCCCCTAGGCCCATGCCGGCACCCAGCCCCTGCTGTTGGTCCATTGAGTACATGTTATCAGGAGGGCAGAACGACGGATATTGACCTGAGGGCGCTTGGGGATGCGGTGGTCTCCGCACGTCATGTTGAGGCCCCATAGCACGAGTGTGGCCCTGGTAGCCAGTGGCCGCACCAGGAGGGCACATAGGCCTAGAACCCCCATCAGGTCCATAACCACCTTGACTCGGGTGAAATAAGTTCTGGGAGGAAGGATCCAAATGATTTGTAGGAGTAGTGAAGTCGCCACCAAAAGACGCGAGCTTCTGTAATGGAGACTCTTGCGGTAAACTTGACATCTGGTGACCGTATCCTGTTGGCTGGACATAACCACCGGCTGTTGAAGTGGGAGGAGGAGCCGGTGCAGGGTCAAAATTCTCTGCCCCAAGATCGGCCAGCCCATCCAACATGCTCCCCCCCACGTCCTCCCCAAACAAGTCGTATGAATCCATGGTCTTTGGGTTTGCCTTGCCGGCTTAGGCTCTGTGTGTCATGAGTGGATCTAGCACAGATACAGTCCTGCTTGGCATGATGGAACCTCTCCTGCATGGAGCCATGTCTTCAATCACTGTTGTTGGGTGGTAATGAATGAAGGTCTGAAACAAAGGAGAATTAAATTGCTAATTTCCAAGAATGGGACACACTTTACCATACTCCATTGAATTCTTAAGTTTATCACAGAATCTGAAACAAAGGCATCTATTACTTTTTAAGAAACATTGAACACTATACAGAATATTTTTTTTAATCTGCACTTCTTGTGGACTGTAGAGACAATTCCAAGGGGAAAAGCTATACGCTTATGATCTTAAATTTAACATAATCGCTACAGCTTTTCCCGTCAGAACAGTCAATAGAGTTGCTGCATCTTATTAATTGTTGATCAGGATACTCTGGTTTTAGATGGTTTAATGTAGATAAATAAACACCAATTGCATACCTGTAAAGTTTTAGTTAACAAAAAAATTGAACATTTTACAAATTTATACACCAAAATTCATAGCCTCTACATACAAAATAAAAACGAAAGATATCAGATAATACTACTACAAAACATTCACATGCACAAACAAAACTAGCAATCAAAGCAAGTAAAATTCAAATATTGACAAGTAAATTTTGAAAGAGTCACAAAAATATACAAGATGAGTACTGTTAAAATTTCTTAAGGAAAAGAAGATTATAAATTGAAGTAAGAATTAATCTATACTTTTCAAAACACTGATCATTAATTCTTTTAAATCGATTAACAGAAAATGCACTTGCTGAAGGTTCTTTCCTGTATGAATGTAAAAAAGTTAAACACAAAAGCAGAAAAAAAATTGTGAAATTGAACACAAAAATCATATGAAAATGAATCTTATGGGCCACAACCAAAAACCTTTAATATTCCGTTGTCACTTTTTACTTTAATTATACCAAGTTCACCATACAAATAAGTAAACAAACGAAAATTCAAAACCTATGTGACTTATGAAAATGCCTCTACACTAAAAAAAATTCCAATTTTTCTCCTTCAATGAACTAATGCCTTACAAGGAAAAAATGTTTGTTTGTTGTTGTTGTTGTTGTTTGTTGCTTTTTTGATGTTTTTTTTGGCAATGCAATGTAACATAAAATGGAACCGACCCCATCTGAAAAATGCGACCTTGATTATTACAAAAGAATCTCCCAAAATGATACAATAAGAAGGAACCCTAGGTGAATTTTGGGCATGTAGATGTTGCATACAGACAAAAATGCCTCAAAACATGGAAATATACAATCCACAAGCCAAGTAACTAATACTAAAGTTGCAAGCACTGACTAAAAAATAAAAAAAAAACTAGTCCATTCAAACCCCCAGTATTCATTAATAATGTTTAATTGTACACGAAGTAACTTATACCTGCAACCAATAACATTTACTTTAACATGCAAAATTAATACTAAAACACCCAGCATGTACATATAATGACACAAACCTAATACAAACATCATATCAAATGGCGGCCAAATCCACAGATTAACAAACGATAATTATCCACTCTCATTTGATGTAAACGTTGCTTTCGCTCCTACAACACACAGCAACAAAAAGACATATGAAAATTGCTCGATTTCAATACCTCACTAGTCAATAAATACACATAGTAATCTTCAGAACACGAAATCGCTCGGCGGAGGAGTACCCAAGCGAGAAATTACACCATCAATACAATCAAACAGATTTCCGATTGGCAAACGATTTTCGCATGACAGTAGAGCCATGCAGCAAATTATTTATGGCTTCGATAAGGTGCACAGAATTGAAATGTTGATTACCAAATATGTACTTGACAAGTTTTAATCACCACATACAGATTCACGACATCACGCATGAACACTACATAATAATAACACCATGGCCGAGAGAACAATGAACTTTGTGAACGCCATTCGAAGTGTCCTCTTTCGGCTTGGGTGCCTTGATACGTTCAATACTTCCTGTACTACAAATCTATTCAACATCAAATGTAGCTAGATCTGTTCTTCGCGAACAGACGCATGCACAGCACTCCATATAAACATTCCAAAACGATGCTCACCCCTCTTTTCAACAAAACACACGGCCTCGGATCCCAAATTTATCGTAATCCTCCTTCCTTCCACATATCGTACAGTATCGTGTAAAATTGTGGAAATTACTTTTAAGACCTGTGATCTAATTGGTTAGAATAATACCCTCTATCCTTACTTGTCGTGAAAATACAACCAATCAGGTGATATCTTATGTAGCATCATTAGAAATGTGGATTCCCAAGCCACCAATGGCGTAATAGCATTTAGTTAAGTACCCGTATAGCATTTCTTTCAATATAAGAATGTCATTGTACTTTGAATAACATTATCCGGTATCCAAAATTTAACTATAAACATTTAGCATTTGGCTGAGCATGCAACACGCAAAGTATAAGAGAGCATACAATCGTATGAGCAAGACAAACAGCAATACTCACTCAACTTAAGAAACATTCCAGAAGTTGGTAAGCATTTCTCCGCGGCAAATATCCACACCTCAATGTACTACATCTATTAAATGATTCGCAAAAGCAAAATAACGTTCTGTATATCGATATTAGCGACCTTTGCTACGAAATAAGTGTAACTTCTTCAAAAGCGAAAGTAATCAATTCCAGTCCTCCATCACTTTGCTTACAGCGCTGTTAGTCGGTGAATTTTGGAACCTCTACAGGATAGCAATGGCCTCTGTGGAAGTTAACGTGAACTCTGCAACCGCGTATTACAAAATTATTAGTCCACATTTGCTCTTAAATGCTTTAACTTTACATTCCGTCAACTTTCTGTAATAGTGTTGTAACATAAAAAACTGTTTTGAACAGAGATCGCGATTTAATTTACTCCGTTAATCGACGATATTGAAGTTATGTCAAAAGTAGTTTTATGTCTCTTAGTTTTCAAATTTATCATGCGCGGATCCAAGGGGAGTGAAATACCCCTCCCTAAATTTTTTCTATAACAATTAATTTTAAATTTTTACGAAACTTTCAAGCAAAAATATTTTTGGATAATCATTAATACGAATAAAATCGTATCGCAGTATGAGCTGAGTGTAGCCTGAGACACTACAAAATCTGTTAATGACACATTCGACCAAAACATTTGTAATTTCCCCTCCCCAAATTTGTCTCTGGATTCGCCCATGAATTTGTAACTGAACTTTTGGACAACATTATTCCATACAAATAAATGTCAAACTCTGGTCATGATATAATGATGCATCTTCTACCAAGTAGCGATTTCTGTAATGCCAGAGATAGACATATTCCATATTTTAATGAACGATTTTTTTAAACTGATTTACCCTAAAATCTCAATATTTATTTTTGTTTTGTTTTTAGTTGCAGTAGTATTCCAGAAAAGCGATGATTTATTTGTGATTACAAATTTGTTAGATTTGTTGCATGATTTTCACAATTTTAAAAATAGACAATTAACATTTAGTAAAATGATATGAATCCTCATTACAAAATCAAAAATAATAGGATTGAGCATCATAAAAATGTGAATATGTTGCATTGCACCTGACTCTAATTAATATTTGCCAATGTAATGTCACCTTAATATTTTTTTCTTTTATTGCAAAAGTCTTTGATGGGTGATCATAAGAGTACAAATCAAAAAACATTTTTTACAGTAGAGCCAAAACAATATGCCAGTTTGTACTTTGAACATTAAAAATACTGCAGTGTGCAGAATAATAGTGTTACATTGAAGAATTTGTCTTGCACACCTAGATGACAAAACTGATGATGACAAAAATAAACATATCTCATTTTAAAAAAAAAATTGACTTACACTCTTTTGATTGCCCATCAAAGAATTGTTTCCAAAACTTCTGCAATTATTTTACATTTTGATTTGGTTCATTCTATTGTTTACTAATAACTACATTACAAATTGAACTGAACATTGGTTAATTCAACAAGATAGCACACACATTCCAGGTGCTCATGTAGGCAAATTACATCATGCGAACAGTGGTATATGCATCTTTATTAAAAATAATATTCACTATGTGCCAGTCACAGAATGCTTCTCTCTCTCTTTAAAAACAAAGATTTTGAAATGTCTATAGTAGATTTACCAAAACAAAGAACATGGATTTTATATATGTAGCATGGTCCACCAGGAATCACATATGTTTTCTTAAAAAACCTAGCAATTGTTCTGAAATGTAAAAGACACAAAAATTATGAAATTATATTATGTGGTGATTTCAATATAAACTGTTTGTTAAAAATACATAATGAAAAACTATTCAAAAATTTACTTTAGTCTTTCAACTTACAAACCATTGTAAATCATATCTAAAAAAAGCAGTACAGCAATTGATCAAATAATAATAGACAAAAATGATTCCAGCTATTACAGTTGTTATATTCAACACACATTTTAGTGACCTCTCCATATAAATTCTCAAACTCAAAATGGGCACAAGCATTGTTAAGGGAACAGTTTAAAAAAAATCAAAACTTCTCTCAAGAAAACCTAAACAAATTTAACTCTCTCATGAATTGAGGAAACTAGGATGAGGTATACAAGGCAACTAACACAAATGCCAAATTTAGCTTGTTCACGAACATATTTTGAAGATATTTTAAATCCGTTTTCCCACAGACACTTAAGAAAATTTTTAAAAATCGTGGATTATGAAAGGAATCAAGTTTCATGTAAAAGGAAATGAAACATGCATGAAATAATCCTTCATGTCAAAGATAGTTCTGAATTCGTTGCTTACTACACTAGAAAACAAAAGTTAAACACAGTTCTTAAGCCCAAAATAAATAAAAAGCAACGTGGAACATAGTGAAAAAAAAACTCTAAAGACAGAAAACATATTCACTAAGATCACAGAACTTTACTACGAAAATCGTTCTGCATGACTCACAGGAAGTAGCAAACAAGTTCA